TTCATTTTTATTGCAGGCACCCTCTTACCTAAGGTCACTGATAGCAACATTGGGGACATCACCTGGTCGGATCATGCCCCGACCATGGTAGAAATATCTGGAGAATACCAGCACAGGGGGCGGCCACCTTGGCGCCTAAACGACTCACTCCTCCACGACCACACCTTTTCTCAAACACTAACGGATGCCCTGTGCACATACTTCCAAATAAATGACACCCCAGACATACACCCAACAACACTATGGCAAGCCCATAAGGCGGTAATACGAGGCTTATTGATCAGTCGAGCGTCCTATGTAAAGAAAAAAGCCCAAGAGGAATACCTGAATCTGCTGCGCACCCTAAGAGATGCTACTGCGGCACACATAATGAACCCTACCCCGCAACAAGCACAGATAATCAAAGACACCACAGCACACCTCAACAACATAGCACTAGCAAAAACTGCACACATCTTACACAAACTAAAACAAACTTCATACTCCCAAGGCAACAGAGCAGGTAAACACCTGGCAACCTTACTGAGACAAAAACAATCCAACGCCAAAATACCCTACCTACTTACAAACAAAGGAACTAAAATCCACAATCCACAGGACATTAACGATACTATGGCGACATACTACCACTCACTATACAACCTCAAGGACGATCCAGACTTACACCAACCCACCCCCTCAGACATACACGACTTCCTCCGGCAAACCACACTACCGGCACTTTCAGCTCAACAAAAAACAACTTTACAAAACCCAGTCACGACACAAGAAATCCAACACGCCATCCAATCTCTCCCTCACGGGAAGTCGCCAGGACCTGACGGCTTGACAAATTCCTATTACAAGTCACAGACCGCATCCCTCGTCCCATACCTAGAGAAGTCCTTTAACCATATTATCACAACCGGCCAGATGCCCCAGGAAATGCTCATGGCGCATGTGGCCACACTGCCAAAACCAGGCAAACCCCCGACCAAATGCCAGAACCTAAGGCCAATATCTCTCCTCAACACCGACACTAAACTACTAGCCAAAATATTCTCGAATCGTCTAGCAAACATCATACCGACCATAATACATAAAGATCAGGTAGGCTTTGTCAGTGGTAGACAGGGGGCAGATGGAACCAGGAAGGTTTTGGACTTGCTAGGGGGGGGCGTGGAGGGGGGGCCCAATGTGTACTCCTGTCGCTTGATGCAGAAAAAGCCTTTGATAGGCTGCACTGGCCCTTCCTCCGTGCGGTCCTCAACAAATATGGCTTTCCTGATAACTTCCTAAAACTGGTAGAGGCACTGTATTCCAAACCGACTGCGAAAGTCACGAACGTAGGCTTCATCTCCAAACAATTCAACATAACCAATGGAACGCGGCAGGGATGCCCGCTCTCTCCTCTATTATACATTCTATCCCTGGAGCCGCTCACACAGCTCATCAGGGACAACCCGAACATACATGGTATCACTAAACAAGGCAAGGAGTACACACTTACACTATTTGCGGATGACGTGCTACTAACGTTGGAGCAACCACATATTTCCCTGCCAAACTTTCATTCTGTCCTATCCCAATACAGCAAATGTTCACACTATAAATTAAATGTGACCAAAACCCAAGCAATGGGCATAAATATTCCCACTGACACATTAGAGAGCCTACGCAACTCCTTTCACTATGACTGGAGAACTGACTATCTAAAATTCCTAGGAATTAACATCACACAGAAGCCAGCCCTATTATATAAAACAAACTACCAAAAAACACTGTCCGATATAAAAACAGTGCTAACAGGATGGAAAGGTAAATACATCTTGTGGTCAGGCAGAATAGCTGCGATCAAAATGATTGTTTTACCGAAACTACAATATTTATTCAGAACACTGCCAATAAAACTACCCCCCCGTTTCCTTCAGGAAGCACAACAAATACTCATGGAATTTATATGGGACAAGCACAAACCACGGGTAGCAAAAAGCACACTATACCTGCCGCGGGAGAAAGGAGGGATGGGCGTACCCAATCTAGATAGCTACTATCGTGCAGCCATAATGAGTCCACTCTTAGCAGCATGCCACAGAACTCACCCAACTCCATGGGAAGAGATAGAGACATACCATGCAAACAACACCTCCCTAACAATATTAGCATGGCTCCCAAAACCCCATAGACCATCGACAAACGTGATGCTCCCAGTCACAGCACTAACACTGCACATTTGGGACACACACTGCCGTAAAATGGGCTGGACAGGGAAAACATCACAAGCCATGCCCCTAAAAACATTACAATACATAATCCCCAATTTCAACCACGCATTGTGGCATGAATACGGTATCACGCACCTATATCACCTCATACAAGGTCAGGAACTTAGAAGTTTCAAGGATATACAAGACTCCTACCACCTCAACGCACAGGTTTCCTTTTCCTATTTACAAATAAAATCCTGGTTCCACAAGCAAACTGTGAATGGGTCTGGAAATGTACAGGAACCACAGCTGACGGCGGTAGAAAAAATATGCCTACGCCTCTCGCCCCCCAAAAAACTAATCTCTGAAATCTACCAATCAATGCACGCACACACTGGCCATACCAAATTCTCTTTCACAACTGCATGGGAGAAAGAATTTAAATATAACCTAACTCCACAGCAGTGGAAAGACATCTTAAAGGCACACAACTCCCTCTCTAAATGTGCTTCACATATGGAACTCTCTCGCAAAATCCTATACCGGTGGTATTTAGTGCCCACTCGCATTAAAGCGGCGCACCCCCAAGCATCTGATGTATGCTGGAGATGCCAGCAGCATAAAGGCACGATGCTCCATATCTGGTGGACCTGTCCCATCCTAACCCCATTCTGGGACGTAGTCTCCACCATAATTCAAGAGAGCACAAAAACTATACTACCCAGGACACCCGAAACATACCTCCTACAACTATTCCCAAAAAGGATGGGGTGGAAGCAAAAATACTTAATATATCAACTACTCATGGCAGCCCTCACTGTAATTAGCAGGCACTGGAAATCACCCCTACCAATGCCAACCACCGAACTCACACAATTATTAGACACCACAAGGCTATATGAAATAGCAGCCAGGCGAACCTCCCGCCCAAAGAAGGTCTGGCAAGAGGCATGGGAGGAATGGCACCAATATATGGAGCGCAACAATCTCCTCCCCCCCCCCTTCCCCCACCCCAAAAATGAATGGGAAAGAAGATGGCTAGGACGTGTATCTGCTAACCGACAGCTGTGTTCCTAATGAGTGCACCAAGGCACAAGAATGTACAAACATGTAAAAATACGTTACTTAACAAGGTCAATGTTAGTCACCTCAGGCCTGGGAGTGACACCTACTTCCCCGTTACCCCCCCCCCCGTTACTTCTATAACTGTTTTCATCCTCTCCCAGTGGCACCCCAGATAGGGAATATCCAAATCACCAATGCCATATCTAGAGGAAACATAACTAAATTGTTGAACTATGTAAAATAATGTAACATGACTCTCAAAATGGAAAATGTGAACTCAATCTGTATATGGCAGAACATACAAGCATTACTGACAACGAGGCACCACGAGTGTGCCCACACCAAAGTACAAAGATATGAATGTATACCACTGTCCTCTAACTATTGTCCTTTTCCCCTACCCCCTTTTCTTTCTGTACCCCCCCAAAAAAGATCAATAAAAATTGTCAAAGTTAAAAAAAAAATAATCGATTCATTCACTAGTGAATCAATTGGCTGGCATAAAACCCCTTTGGATTCCTACATAGAATGATCAATCAACCAATTGAAAGAGGTTTAATGCAGGGAGAAATGATTCATTAACAACAAATGTATTTCTTTAAGGAAGACCACCCTTAAAAGCATGTCTAGTAGTTATATCATGTATAGTCAATTACACAAAATATACATGTCAACTAGTTTTACAGTATACTCTGTATAATATGTTATATCACTTTCTTCTGCAATGTACCTACATTTTCTATTATTGTGATGTGTTGGAAGGAAAAACCCCTTCATCACTTGGAGAGAAGAGCTTGAGAAAGGCTCTGTGTATCTAAAATGTTGCACTGTATGCCTCAATAAACCTGCCTAGGAAGTTATCCAATGCAGAATGAACTGCCAGAAAACACTAAATATGCACACAGTCCTTGAAGAAATTGTAATTTTCCTTCATGGTTTAAAAAAAAAAAAAAAGTCATTACTAGTTACATCACTTGAGGTGGAGTGCAGGTGTGTTTGTTTGCTATTTCTCCCAATTAACCACGACCCCTATTATACTGCCACAATTGTAATCCTTAGATTCTCCTGACAATAGTCCACGTCTGACACCAATATTTTGACATTCCTGCTCTACCCAAAATGTCTCCACATTTCACTGTAAATAACTCCATCTTTAGTAGCAAAACTCCACATTCGCCGACACCCGCCTTGGCAATGATTATTCTGATTTTGCATAAAACTTTGAATGCTAATGACCAAACATACTTCTGAATCACTATTCGGCAACACAGATTCTGTTCTGAACTTAGGAAATAAGTCAAATAATTTGTACATATACCTCGTATCAGATACATTAGACTTTCAGAATCTATTATTACCACAGCTCACTGGTTCCATTTAAACGTCAGAATCCCAGCTTTGTTTACACCACTGTGTAGTTATATAATAACACTGACTATTGTCTTGTGTTCAGAGTACTGCCGACTACTGTGAAACTGCAGCTTTAGAATGTCTCAAAACCAGCTGAGTGCAGTAAAGTAACAACGCTCTACTGTTTAACACGTTTTAATTGTCCTATATTGTTTACCCAGGCCGCCCTATAGGATAATATACAGAAATATATCTCTAAGTTACCTTTGGTAACTTGCATTTTCTGACAGAGGAGAACCAATGCTTTGTCTGCCTAATCTGACTCTGCCAGTAGGGTTCTGCATACCTTTACCTGAAACTAAGTAATGTGAAAGGAGGTGCTTGTTTACCTCCTTGCATTGGAACATGAGTAACTATCCCAGCAGCAAGATCCAGTCTCATACTAAGAAATACTTGCTAGACCAGTTGCACCTGTTACTTCTTACTTGTGGTTTCAGTGGAATCAGTGCGATAAGGAAGAGGCATTAAGCTATATTTTCTCTGGACGTGTAAAATTGCACAGCAAGGTCAGTTTGTTTCTGTATTATCTCGTATGTACTTAAACCTTGATTATCTTTTGCTACTGATAGTATGTTTGCTGTAAGATGATTTATAATATGATTACACTGCAAAACTGATTAATGCCAAATATATGGCGTTGTAATACTTCCTGTGTTACATTTGTTTGTCAAATCTACTAGTCACATATAACTTCACCATGGTGTTGGGTGATAAGTGAAAGGTGCTGGCTTGCAGCAGTATGTGTTGTAAGAGGAAAATAAATAAATAGACCCCACAGACTTCTTTGATATGCACTGAATAGAATGAAGCATGTTAATGTTTCTATAAAATATTACTAACTTTGGAAACAATGAACTAAGGGTTGAGAAACTCATTTTATTTATTTTTTTATAATAATTCTGAAATATGTTTGTAATCCATGTAAGCGTTTCCTAGAGTTAATATTTGTTCATGTTAACTGTAGATACAAGATGGACTACCAATGCATGGGGAAGACTCCTTGAAACTTGAATTAAAACTCATGGTTGATGGTGCTAACATATAAACAGCTGTATACTGCCTCCATTAAGCTATAACAGAGTCATTTACCAGACACTGGAGGGGAGAATCATTTGTTAGTATTGCACAGATCACTATATATTTTTACTAACGTGCATTTGCAGATTTCTAATACATAATTAAATCCATCATTTACATTAAAGAGGTTGCTACTAAATATTTGTTTAAAACCCTTAAAAATCTGAAGTCATAAGCTTCTAAAAAAACGGTGTGCTTGTAGATTGGGATAGTGCTGATACAATGTTAACATTCTGAGGAAAAAGTTGAACCTTCCAAGTACCATAATTAATACAGTACTTCTGTAGTGTTTATGGTGTCAGAAATGCCCTGGTGCCCTCCCAGAGTATATTGTCAAAACGTAAGGATAAGTCAGATATCTCCATGATGCTAAGAGCAACCCAATACAGCTAATTTCCAGAGAGTGTTCATCTGAAGCTCTTTGTCGATGAGAGTGGCCCACAAAGCTCTGTTTAGCTAAGTGGAGTGGGCACCAGCGTTTGTGGTGTTTGGAGTGTACTTTTTAATACAACAGTGCTGTTTAATTATGGAAACTATCATATATGTGATGCTACATTCAAACTGACATCTTTGGTATGTGCAAATAAGATAAAGTAGAAAGAAAAATCCAAAAGACACTTAATTTCATTATTTGAAGAATGTAACTTCTGTTTCTGCAGGTTCAGTAAATTTGCTTGAGTACGCATGTGAAGGAAAAATAATGTCCAGATCGGAAAGACGTGTGCACAGTGAGAATGTCCCATCATCCCAGGGTACCTCGTATGACAGGCCTAGGAGGGACCGTCAAGGCTACAGAGACAAGGAAAGCACCCGAGACCGACCTTACCGAGAAAGGGAACAAAATAGATCACATACTTCAAATGGAAGGTTTGACACCCCAAATGATTTACATTCTTTGAAAAAACACACATTTTAAGATAAATCTGATTTTTGTTTTTAATTAAGTGCTTCTAAAAGGAATCTTTTCATTTAAACCGCATAAAACAATATACAGTGCCAATGTTTACAAACCACTGTTAAAAGGATACTAAAGTCACCCAGACCACTTCATCTCAATCAAGTGGTCTGGGTGCAGTGGCACTGTCCTTTCAATCCTCCAATGTAAAACATTAAATCCACCTCTACTGGCTGTCATACAATGCTTTCTGTACTTGCCGCACATGAGCATTAGGTCCCCAGGGCTCCTCTATGAGGACCAATGGAGTGGACCACCTCGGAGGAGGCCATGCCTCCTTCATGATGTCTCGAAAGTTGGTTGAGGTGAGAAAAAAAAAGGTAAGGAAATATTTTATATTATTACATTTGTTTGAAAAGGAGGGGAGACCTCTATCTATCTAGGGACAGGGCACTCTAGTGTTAGGAATACCAACATCCATTCCTAATGCTATAGTGTTTCTTTACAGTGAGGGGGAAAAGTATTTGATTACCTGCTGATTTTGAACGTTTGCCCACTGTCAAAGAAATTATCAATGTATAATTTTAATGGTAGGTGTATTTTAAGAGTGAGAGACTGAATAACAAACAAAAAATCCAGAAAAACGCATGTCAAAAAAGTTATACATTGATTTGCATGTCAATGAGAGAAATAAGTATTTGACCCCTTCGACTTAGTACTTGGTGGCAAAACCCTTGTTGGCAATCACAGAGGTCAGACGTTTCTTGTAGTGGGCCACCAGGTTTGCACACATCTCAAAGAAAAGTGCAAAATCTTTCACTATGTCACAGAAAAATATTACAATGACCAATTTTCACTAATATCACTATATGGTGTTTAAGTGAATATTGAGTGTTTGATAGAACAAAAGAGGATATATATATATATATATATATATATGAACTTCCCTTTTAGTTATGGATTGAACCCGAAGATCTCCTCAAATCTTCCACAAATACATAAGTAAAAATATTAGGGTCCATCCAACTATAGGGAAATAGAGAAAAACCTAGTGTGTAGTTCTGGGCTGATTTCCCCACCGTTCTCTTCTCATGATCATTGAAACTCCAAGAGGTGAAATCTTGCATGGAGCACCATACCGAAGGAGACTGACAGTTATTTTGTGTTTCTTCCATTTGCGAATAATTTAATTAATTATTCCAAGCTTCAGGGTTGTATTTCTATGTGTGGTTTCCTCATTCTGAAGTTCAGATTTAGTCACTTGACTGTTAACAGAATTATGTGCTCAATTATACTAATATCTGAATTCCGTTTGGCTTATATTATTTTGGAGAGCTATTGTATCAGAAGGTATGATTATAAATATGTAGAGCTATATTTAATGGGGCAATTCTGAGACCAAACATTTGAGCAATATGCAGATAATGTTAGCATTTAACATTTATGTTGCTCAGTTTACATCTAAATATGCTAAATATGGCTGTTGTGTGAAAAATTAAGAATTACTGAATACATGAACATTTCTCATTTTTGGCAAAGTACTGGGAATTATACATCTGGGGAAGAAGTGTGTGTGAAACAGATATAGTTTTCCTTTGCTTAACAATATTGTTCTACTTGATCCTCCACATCAGTGCAAGGAAGCCACACCTAGGGCCTACCTATTTTATTAATATTTAATTTACAGGAGGAAAAATTGTCATCTAAATCTATAATTGATAGGATATTTTGGGATCCTGCTAGTGTACCTAAAATAGAGGATAAAACATAGTGCAAATATTGCTTGATACTATAAAAAATTGATGATTAATATGTACTCACGTATTCCAAAATGGTAAAGCGTATTATGGGTGCCTCCCCACGATGTAGATGGGGGGGTTTCTCTTTAAATATCACTCCTCAAGTGATAGCCGATGGGGTATCAAGGTCAGCAAGATGGTCCAACAAACTGCAACCCAAAGAATACTTCAAAGGCGATTTATTCACTTCTTAAAATCAGGAGGTGTACAAATAAAAATTATAAAAGAAAATATGAAACAAACACTGGTCCTACGCGTTTCGTCCTTATGCAAAAGGACTTCCTCAGGGACCTCTTTCAATAACATACAATCAGCAGTACAAAACCAGAAAGCATCCTAAAAAACGCTACCAATCAATCAATCTTATATAGGGCTAATCCCTTCCAGTCATTGGTGGAATAGTGGGTGTCTTCTCACTTCTAGATTCCTATTTGTCCAATTTTTCTTCTCCCCAGGTGCATTTACTTTGCCGGAGAAAATACCGGGTTCTTTAGGTGTTCGGCCACTTCCGCATACGTCATACATTGCGCATGCGTCACGTGTTCCGTAGTTCATCACGTGATCGTTATTCGTTCCACATTCGGGAAACAAACATGGCCGTGCGTTCCACACCGTCATAATAGCTTAAAAACGTAATCACTTCTCTTACACCTAGTAATTTTACACAAGGAACTTAAAACAAGAGAACTATTAGAATTTATATTCAAAAGCAATAATAATAATCATATATCCTCTAAAAGTTACCAGCTAAATACTTTTTTTTATCATGAATGTAAAGCTTCCTATCTAAGCTGAACATTCATAATATCTGTCACAATACACCATATATTGCAAAGGTGATAATTTATAAATTCATTTCAAGTGTTAACAGTGATATTTAGTATAATAACATAGTAAACAAATCTTTAAAGTGACATGAGTGATTATATACTCAATTACACATCCATATTGTGCCTACCATACTTTTTTGTTTTTTTCCTTTTACCTTTTCTTTTTTCCTCTCTTTTTCCCAAAAAACATAAATCATATATCTCTCTTAATTTAAAAAACAAACTATATCCATATCTACATTTAGCCCCCTTGGGGTGAGAGTACGTAGTCTGTGAATCCAATATGACTCTCTTTGTGCTAATCATTTCTCTTTATTGCCCCCTCTCCACCAATCTCTGATTTAATAGAGAACTGTTTCCCTGTGACGGAACTGCTGTATAAAGCAGTTCTATCTGTGTTCACTTGTAAACAGGCTTTACAACTTTTGCAACCCTTAAAACCTTTTGTCCCTTTTTTATTTCTAAATCCATTTTTTAAAGCATAACTTGGTGCTAATAAATTCTAAAGATTTTATTTTTTCCTGTAGATAATCTTTTGGCTTTTTTGACAAATGTTCCCCCAAAATGGGGTCCTCTAACAATATTGGCCAATATTTATATAAACTCCTTTTAATTTTTGGATGATCCACATTATATTGTGTAAAATAAACCTGTTTGAAATTTTCCCCTCTTCTTTTATTACTGGGGCCGTCCATTAGGAACTCATTCCTGCTTTTCTTAGACATCATATGAATTTCTCTTTTTATTTTTTTCTGGTTGTAACTTATCTAAATCTATACTATGTTGTACTTTTTACAGAGCTCAATTATCGTTTCCTGTCTTGATTTAAGTTGTGACAATCAAAACAATGGTGGTTTTGCCTTGTAGTTGAATTTTAAACTTATTGATCTGGTTTCTTATGTTTTATACAATATTTGTTATTTCCTTTTTTTGTAGGGAGTCTTTAAATGAGCCAGCATGGAACAAATCTTCTCGACCACCCACATCTCACTCATATCACCAAAGCCCTCCTTCAGAAAGGGCAAAAATAGAGAAACATTCCTTCTCCGACAAGTGCTCAAGATTCTGTTCCAGGAGAGGTATTCATTTTCTTTAAATAAGTATATTATTTTCTCTTTGTGAATGGGAGGCAGACACACCTGCCTCGCTAAAAGTGTGGAAGAGGAGAGTGCACTTGGTCTGCCAGGCACAAATGTTGATGTATGATTTCTTTAAATGATTACATGCTATTATCCCCTAAGTCACATTAGTCACCTGCCCATTCACGCCATTCCATAGACGTTTCTATTTCAGAAATAATATAGAAGAGAACTGGAGCATAGGAGGATTTAGCATGTTTTAATTTGTTGCTGCCAAATATACCTATACCCCAATACACACAGCCTGTCAATTTGAAATCTGTTTGAAAAAACTGGAGGAACTGCCTCCGTAGCCGCCCCCAACAGTAACTACTCCAATAAGGCCACTGGGCAAACCAGCAAATGCATAGATTTTTATTGAAAGTTTTTTTTTTTTTTGTTTTTTTTTTTGTAAATACAGTATGCATTAAAGTCCACATAAATATTTTCAAATCTGTGCAATGAGTTCACGCATTTGCTAACCTGGATTATGGATAGAATTGTCAGCCAGGCATACCATACCAAAGTCCAGTTTTAATAAAAAAAAGAGTCCCTGTTCATTATTATTATCATGATTATTTTATTAAAGTAACAATAGTAAACAGATATTACTGATCATCACCAAGTACAAAGTTAAGTGTTAGTACATGTTCTGCTTGTCTAACATTACCTTAGCTTGCAATCCCTACATGTGGATGTAGTGGTTATAGAGCTATGTGGCTGTGAGAGCCACCCCCTGTTTTTTAAAATCATTTTCAAGCAGTTTGACCAGAACCATTGATTTCCAGGGCACCACTGCTTAGCATCCTGCTCTAAATGATGCAATCATGCTGTGCCAGCTGGATGGAGGAACTGGAACCTGAATTTGGAGCAGTTGAGGGGCATGAATTATGTTGAATAGGCATTACTGTGATATGCTAATTATTATTCTGTTATAAATTGTTTGTCTCAGAATTCATGGCACTTTTTTCACAGACTAGCAGATGAGCACAGCCTGTTCCAAGATATTGCAAAATGTAACATCATGCAAACTGTAATTCTTAAACTCACTGTTTCAATTCATCATTATGTCAATGTGTATTACTGTTTAATTTTTTTTTTTTTTAGAGTTGTTCAGATTAGAGGTGGACTTTCTGATTTACAAGTAACGCATTGCTGCAGGTGATACTAGCATGTCTAGTACAGGAGCTTTACAGGAGATTAGTTTACCATAGCATCTTCTCTTCTTACATACCTACCAATCTTTCTTGCTGGAGATGGGATGGAATGCAGTTGTCTAGGACCCTGATCTTTTAGGTCTTAGTCCTCTCTGCTACTATTGTGCCCTCTAACTCTTCCACAGCACAGAACTGACTGTGCCTTCTCTCTATCACTAAACACTGAAAGTAAATCATTACGTACACCAGCAGTATATCTGAAAAATTACATTTTCATGTCCGTTAATTGAAGTACAATTTCATGTAAACTACAATGAAATTGTTGTTATTCAGTCTCCATGGCATAAGGGATAAACTCTTCTCTGGCCATGGAGCGCAGCCCATGTTATCTAGAGATTTGTATATCTATTTATCCACGTTGGAGTGTAATGAAAACATGGCAAATAATTGTGTTTACTGAACCAATTTGATTCATGATTCCGTGTAATTTGCTGGAACAGCTCTCAAGTAGACCAGATCAAAACCCTTTAGCGGATCACTAGTAACTAGTTGTTTTTTTTACCCATTCTCCATAAAACTTTCTGTTTAAAAAAAAAAAAAACTATTAATTTTTTTACAATCTGCATCTTCTCTTTTGTTTACACTCCCCAAATCAATATTATACACTTAATGGCAAATTCAGAATCCATATTTACCAAAACTAACCCATATCTATAAATGTGAAGTAAGGGAAGCAATGCATGTATTTATTAATAGGTCCCATGACTACCAGCCAGCTATAAATAGTGTGACATACACCACAGTTCTTACTCTTAATAAGTGCCAAGCAGGTAGCGGTTAAGCAAACAACTAGCTGAGTTCACATCTTCAGGTCCTATTAGCGGTTTTTTTGGGGGGGGGGGGGTTTGTGGCACCTGGGTTTGTTTGTTGCTGCGCCGCCGCTGTCAGGCTACGTTGAAACAGGGAGCTTCAGGCTCTCTGTTGTTAGTGTGTATAAGTTGGGCAGAATTTGACACCTTGTCACAATTACAGTTCTGCTTCTGAGGCTCTGTAGATAGGCCCATGCATGATGGTAATTTTGGATCTACTCTTCTTTAACCCATGTCCCATCTCACTCTTTGGGTTTTCACAGGAATGCTACAGCTGGTGGAGATATTTATTAACGTTTTGGTCTTGATATGTGCATCCGCTTCACAGAGTGCTTCAGCTGGATTTTCAAGTATTGGGGGATTTGGCAGCACTTATTATTACAGTATGGGCTATTCCATGAGTGGTTTTCAGGGAGATGAAGTCAGTCAGATATCACAGCTGGACATGGAGTACAGTAGGATGAAGATGCCAACTGTTTACTGTGCTGTCGGTATCAGTCTTTTCGTGCTCACTCTGACCTTGTCCTTCCTGGCAGTCAGCTGCATGTCACATACTGGAGAAAACAGAAAACTTTTGATAGCTGAAGAAGTGCTAAATGTGACATCTGCAGTTGTATATATCATATGCATCAGCATCTACATTCATTTTGTCAAACAGATCAATGCCACAGAAGTGTGCAAGCAAAGGGAGTCACTCTATAACCGTCATGGATACAACTCTGTGAACTGTGATATTTTGGGTACTGAGGTTACTGTGTGTGTCTTTTCAGTAATGCTGGTTGTATTGTACATTGCAAGTGCTGTTGTGGTAGGACTAATGCTAAAAACCAACTCCTTTGAAAAAAATCACAGAAGTTCAGAATCTAGAAGAAGGGGTGATTTAAATAGACAAGAAGGTCATGTGAAAATTGAATTGACAGAATCCGTGTTTGTAGATCTTCAAAAACCAGAAGAGATTGCTTAGTATGTCCTTAAAATAACACAATTTTATTTATTTGCTTTTTTTCTTTTCCACTAAGGCCTCAATTTAATTATTTGGATACAAATGTTCACAATCTAAATAAAACTTTATCAAATCATTGATCTACAGAAATTCCCATAGACTTGAATGGTGAATTCTGTAGATGAATAATTTGAAACGTTTTTCTAACAGAACATAATTTGAAAAGCTTTTCCAAAAGAATTACGGAGGCATAAATAAGGGGAAAAAAAAGTATATCTGTAGATGTAACTGAGTGCATGTCCACAGTAGTAACAATCTACACCCTTTAAAGACCATTGATGGTGGTTCTTTTATAAAGTCTTCAAATGGTAGATTTTTATGATATAATTATTTCATCATTGGTCTTTAACGAGTTTAATATAATGGTTACATTTGCATCCCGCCACCTATCTGTATTAATTTTTCAGAGACCAGAAATTTCAACTTGAGGCCAGAAGATCAGAGTGCAGGGTATATCTATAGGGTTGGGATGTCCCTCATACCTTTTTATTTAATCTAACTTTCTTCACACAAAAAAAGCTAATAACTTTACACTTCTAATGGGATTGGTACCATTTTGAACTGATTTTCAGTGCAAAACAAAATCTTTAAAAATAATTTTTGTTTACCTTAAAGAGAAGCTATTTTTTTCACATGGGGATTTGGTGAGTCACTTTCCCTATACTGTATACAAATTAGGTTTTCTTTTTTTAGGCAGTGTCCTTTTATGACCATGACCATGTTTTTATTATTATCCTACTAGCAGTTTGGAAATCGTGCTGCTCTTTTGGGCAATGCAAATTATTATTTTATACCATAACTAGGGTATAGGAAAAAAATGAGACCCAAGATAAAACGCTTGCAGAAGGTATACAATCATATATTAATGGATGTACAGTGGCACTTTAATAACAAGCTGCAAATGTTTAACTGGTTTTCTCTTGTCCAGTGGTGTGCTTAGTTTTACCTGCTTCATACCACGGTGGAGGTCTGGATCAACAGGAATCACCTATTCCTCTTTCTTACTAATGCAAAAATGAATGCAGATTATTTGAGTTAATTCACTAAACTCGGAATTCTGGTATTTACTCTGGAATTTTAGGGTAATATAGCCAAAATAAAAAATAATTCTCTTTTGTATCTGGGCTTAGTAGGCTTAAAGGGACACTATAGGCAGAGGAGGAGGATCCATGACGTAACACCGGGGTCAGGTAAGCAAAAGGGTTTTAACCCTTTATTTACCACGGTGGGGGAGAGGGTGGCGTGATGGAGGCAGAGGGAGCCATAGTGCCAGAAATACAGATTTGTATTCCTGGCATTATAGTAACCTTTTAACTGTTGCTCTTCTGTTGTCATTGCTCCACAGTTTACTATATAGTGAATATAGCTCAATTTGTTTTACCCACTGGTACTCTCTCTAGTCTTATGTAACATAATAATCCAGTAGGTCTTCTTTGTTTTTGTTTTTTGAAAGCCTCCGATGCCTCATTGTGAATATGCAGTGTGTATATGCTAGGATACAGAGCTCGGGTTATATGAGCACAGAACCTGTGTAAACTTAGTTACACCTGTGTCACTCATATAAAGCATATAAGTTATTAAACTGAGTCGTTATGCAAATTAGTGTAGATGTAGGGATACACAAGAAGTATCTCATTGATGTAATAACAATCCCTCAATGCCCAGCTGACCACAGCCTGGTGAAAACTCATGGGAGTTTTAAGTAAATAGTCAGAAAGCTATTGATTTATTAGATCTGGTGTATAATGTTTTGAAAAGCCTAAGCAGAGCGGCTCAGGTGCTGAGTATTTGTATGAAAATAGCTGTTAAGAATTATTTAATTCATATTAGATTAATATTTAATTTCTTATACCTCAATGTCATGATTACAGAACACCTATCATCATGCTGATATCATGATTATACAACAAATAGGTGGAGCAATGAAAAACAAATACTATAAATACTTCCCTCTCTTCAATATACAGCCACAAAACTGAAACAGAAACAGAGGGAGATACAATAGTGTAAAACTGATAAAACAAAAGTTATCACTATATCTATAATTTGCACACTCACAAGGATAGAGCCATAAAGTGACCTGGCTCTAGTCTGGATAGCAATAGGATCCTTAAGGGAGATCCAAATCCCACTCCAGTAGATGAGAAGGATGATGCAGGAACAATAACTACTTCAAAAGTAATAATTTATTCCAGAAATAAAAGAAAAGCATAAAACAAAGTCCATATAATCACCAAAACGCGTTTCGCCAAATAGGCTTCCTCAGTTGGTGGATATTCAATGTGAAAAGTCTCTTTCTTCTTTAATATGGTTGATTTTGGCGCCATCTTCGTCTGTGAAACACACAGCGTCAACTTCCGGTTTCATACGTGGAACGCATAACTTCCGGTTCAATATTAATTTCCTGTGTTGTCCGGTCATGTGATCGGACGTAGTGCTTGTGGAACGCACGTGCGTTCCACTCCTCCCCACATCCGCTTCCTATTTCAAAAGACCGGCGGACATGACGGTCGTGGAACGCACATGCGTTCCACCCATTGGAATATAAAGACAAATATACCTTAATACATATAATACATTGTAAATAGGAACCAACTTATGCAAAGATGTATTTCTAACTTAAGAAATGTACTTCCATCTTATATAAAGGGTATATATATATATAGTAATACAAGGAAATCCAATAAGATAAAAAAAATAATAGCATCATAATTTATAAGAGGTAATAAATAGAAATAAAGAACAAAAGGGAATTTATAAAAATAAGATATCATAGTACCCGTATAAAATATTATGGAATAATATAATAAAAATATAAAAATGTATAAAAAGGAAATAGTCCTCATAATAAAAAACGGTTACATGTGCCACAATACATAAAAAAAAAATAAAAAATAAAAAAATACGTTATAAAAGGCTATTATAAGGATATAGAAAAAAATAAATTATAAAAAATGAAAAAAGATTTATAAAAAATGGCATAATTCAAAGTCTTGATTCAAACCATTTGGAATGAGGGTATTAAAGTTGTATATACATCGCATTTCTTCCTCACCAATCCTTTTATTAAAATCTCCTCCTCTCCAATTTTTAGAAACGGATTTGATTGCACAAAACATTAAATTCCTTGGATAACTATTATGACATTTTTTATAATGTTGTGAGACACTATGTGTCTCCAAGCCTTTTTTTATATTGCGTACATGTTCAGCAATTCTAATATGTAGGCATCTAATCGTTCGGCCAACGTAAATTAAATTACAAGGACATTTTAAAATGTAAATCACACATTTTGAGAAATAGGTTAACTGATCTTTGATAATAAATTCTTTTTTATCTTTATATGTAAATGAAGTGATATGTCTTTTGGTGCTATTGGTTTCCCTACAAGCAAGACAAGATCCACACCCATAAAACCCTTTATTTTTGTTTAAAAAATGCGTTGGAGGTTGCGTTCTAAAACTACTTTTTACTAAAATCTGCTTCAAGTTTTTACATCCACGATAAACCATTTTTGGTCGATTAGGTAAAATTTGACTTAGTATAGGATCTTCTTTTAAAATTGGCCAATATTTAGTAACGATTTTATTAATTTTATGGTTATTACCACTATGGTTACATATAAAAGGTATATTAAATGTATGTTTATCGGTAGTTCTATTATATGACTTTTTATAACGGATAAGGTCTTTTCTATCAATCTTTTTAAGTTCTTCAATGCAGTTCTGTAATATTCATATAATAGAACTACCGATAAACATCAAGGTATATTTGTCTTTATATTCCTATGGGTGGAACGCATGTGCGTTCCACGACCGTCATGTCCGCCGGTCTTTTGAAATAGGAAGCGGATGTGGGGAGGAGTGGAACGTACGTGCGTTCCACAAGCACTACGTCCGATCATGTGACCGGACAATACAGGAAATGTATACTGAATCTGAAGTAGGAAGCGGAGGTGGGGAGGAGTGGAACGCAGGGCCGTCTTTAACGCGGGGCAAACGGGGCAGCTGCCCCGGGCCCAATTACTCCTGGGGGCCCAAGGCAGCTGTCCCGTGGGCCCCGCTGCCCTAAAAAAATAAAATGTTTCCCGGCCGCTTTAGGGCCCCCCCGCAATGTAAGGAGTCCAACCGGGTGGCCCATGCACTTAGGGCCACCCGGTGGGCTTGTACCAGCAGGGGCCCGGTCGGGCGCTGTGGCCCTTTAACAGCGCGACCGGGCCTCTTGCTTTTCGGCACCGCTGGGAGGAAGTGAGTGCCAAGCGTCACTTCCTCCCATAAAGAGCTGCTGCGCGGGAGAAGAAGGACCTGCACGGGAGGGAGGAGGAGGCAGTGAGGATGGGGGCTCCTCACTCACATCATCCTCAGGCAGCACACTGGATCCCAGGGATGCCACCCTCCAGCAAAAGGTAGGAAACTGGAGGGTGGGCTTAAAATGTAAATTTTACATGTATGTCAGTTTGTCTGTGTGTATGTGTGTCAGTATGTCTGATAGTGTATGTGTCTGTGTGTGTCAGTATGTCTGTGTGTATGTGTGTCAGTATGTCTGATAGTGTGTGTGTGTCAGTATGTCTGACAGTGTGTCTGTGTGTGTGTGTGTGTGTGTGTCAGTATGTCTGACAGTGTATGTGTCTGTGTGTGTCAGTATGTCTGTGTATGTCAGTATGTCTGATAGTGTATGTGTGTATGTCAGTATGTTTGACAGTGTCTGTATCTGTGTGTGTGTCAGAAGGTCTGTGTGAGTGTATGTCAGTATGTATCTGTGTGTCAGTATGTCTCTGTGTGTGTCAGTATGTCTGTGTGTGTGTGTGTGTGTCAGTATGTCTGACAGTGTGTCTGTGTATGTCTGATAGTGTATGTCAGTATGTTTGACAGTGTCTGTATCTGTGTGTGTGTCAGAAGGTCTGTGTGAGTGTATGTCAGTATGTCTGACAGTGTATGTCTCTGTGTGTGTCAGTATGTCTGGTGTGTGTGTGTGTGTCAGTATGTCTGGCAGTGTGTCTGTGTATGTCAGTATGTCTGATAGTGTATGTCAGTATGTTTGACAGTGTCTGTATCTGTGTGTGTGTCAGGTCTGTGTGAGTGTATGTCAGTATGTCTGACAGTGTATGTATCTGTGTGTGTCAGTATGTCTGTCAGTGTGTGTGCCTGTTTGTGTGTCAGTATGCCTATTAGTGTGTATGTGTGTGTGTGTGTGTCAGCATATCTATCAGTGTATGTATCTGTGTGTCAGTATGTCTCTGTGTGTGTCAGTATGTCTTCCAGTGTATGTGTGTGTGTGTGTCAGGCACATACACTGATATACATACTGATACAGGCACACTAATAGACATACTGACACACACAGGCACATACAATGACAAACATACACTGATAGACATACTGACACACACACACATGCACATATACAGACATACTGACACACACAAACACACACTTATACTGATAGCTATCCTGACACACACACACACAGGCACATATACAGACATACTGACACACACACAGCCACATACGCTGATAGAGATACTGTGTGTGTGTTAGTATGTCTGTATATGTGCCTGTTTGTGTGTGTGTGTGTCAGTATGTCTATCAGTGTTTGTGCCTGTGTGTGTCAGTATGTTTGTCATCATATGTGCCTGTGAGACCGTTTGTGTCAGTGTGTCTTTCAGTATGTCTATCATTGTATGTATTTATGTGTGTCAGTATGTCTGTTTATCTGTCTGTGTATCTGTATGTGTCTGTGTGTTTATCTGTGTGCGTATATGTATGTAGTCAGTGTGTGTATCTGCTTGTGTGTCAGCATGTCTACCGGTGTCTGAGCACAAACAATAAATACAAATACACCCTTCCATTCAAACTTCAACATTACATACAAACACACTCCTGCATTGAAAGTCAACACTTCATACAAACACACCTCTGTGTTAAACAACAGAATTATATATAAACAAACCCCTACATTCAAAAACCAGCACTACACTTAAATGTACACTTGCATTCAAACTCTAACACCACATACAAACACATTCACACAAACATACTCCATACAAAAACATGCTTACATTCAAACACAGTGCTAAATACAACCCTGCAAGCATGGGAAATTGGTAGAGCCACGGCTGTCAATGCATTGTTGGAGTTGCACGACAGATAGGGTTCTACCTTCTTTCCAACCTTGCAATTGGGGGTCCAAATGAAATTCTTGCACCAGGGCTCTTTCTACTTTAGTTCGCCCACTGCGTTGGGGTGGAGGCGTGATTGCATGCTAGGGAGTGGATCCAGGGGGCCCAAGCAAATGCTTGCCCAGGGCCCAATCAATATTAAAGACGGCCCTGGTGGAACGCACGTGCGTTCCACAAGCACTATGTCCGATCACATGACCGGACAACACAGGAAATTAATATTGAACCGGAAGTTATGCGTTCCACGGATGAAACCGGAAGTTGACGCTGTGCGTTTCACAGACGAAGATGGCGCCAAAATCAACCATATTAAAGAAGAAAGAGACTTTTCACATTGAATATCCACCAACTGAGGAAGCCTATTTGGCGAAACGCGTTTTGGTGATTATATGGACTTTGTTTTATGCTTTTCTTTTATTTCTGGAATAAATTATTACTTTTGAAGTAGTTATTGTTCCTGCATCATCCTTCTCATCTACTGGAGTGGGATTTGGATCTCCCTTAAGGATCCTATTGCTATCCAGACTAGAGCCAGGTCACTTTATGGCTCTATCCTGGTGAGTGTGCAAATTATAGATATAGTGATAACTTTTGTTTTATCAGTTTTACACTATTGTATCTCCCTCTGTTTCTGTTTCAGTTTTGTGGCTGTATATTGAAGAGGGAAGTATTTATAGTATTTGTTTTTCATTGCTCCACCTATTTGTTGTATATTACTGTATTTTGTGAAGGTGAAGGGGATACCTCACTGGTGTTTTGAGCAATTTTAATACTTTGGGATATACTTGTTTGTGTGATATCATGATTGTTCATGATAATCTGCAATGATTACCTCTAGAATTGTAACTATAAGCTGTTTTATGGAATGTATGATTTGCTTTGTTTGTCTACATTCGTGTTACTTTTTATAATACAGAAATAAAAGTAATGATTTAAATGTAGCTTTATTAAAGTGATTGTTTTTTTAACTACATGCTAATTGTATCCGTTTGTAAAATGTCTCATAACTTTAAACCCATTAATAATTAACACTTGCCCCATCGAAACAACAAACAAGTTATGTAAATGAACGCTGCAAGTGAACAACTTGCTGTAATAGTTTTACAGCTAACTTTTAAAATACTCTTAAATTAAGAATATAATGAAGAACTATGAATATTGTTGACCTATACATAACAGTCCGAATACAACTTCTAAAACACTGTTTGTGTTTCTAAAAACACCTTGGACACAACTGAGTAATCCCTAAATCCTGGAAAGTTATGGGGTACTTGAGGACTGGGTTGGGAACCACTGCTCTGGGGCAAGGTTCTCCAAACTCTGACCCTCCAGGTGTTGCTGAAGTACAAGTCCCATTATTCTTTGAATGAAACAGATAGTCAGACAATCATGGAAGTTATATTTCAGCAACATCATAAGGGCCAGATTTGAAGAATCCTGCTCTAGAGACATACACTATTTTAAAATTAAATACCAGGAATATTCAGGAAGAAATTGTTTGTAGAAATACTTTACTAAACTCTTTGACATTTAGTGAGTGAGGATATGATATGTTATGCCCTGCCAGCTCTAAACACTACCGCTGCACACTTGACCTTTAGTAATCAGCTCAGAGGAACCTGCTAAAACCAGCTACTTTGGGCTTTGATGTAGGATGAATAGGGAGGTGAAGCAGAGATGGACAGGATGCATGTGGGTAGAGGGCTTGAGGAGAGGCACAGAATTAGTTGAACATGAATGTAGACACTGAGAGGTAAGACTCCTTGGTAGATCCAACATGGTGTTTTTGAAACAATACTTACTCATCATGAATTCTATATAAGCAATTTTCATGTGTTGCCCATGAGTATCGGGAAGTGACGTGTCCAGGAAAATTTGATGAATCTGTCAACTCTAATGGGGACAGATGCAAAAATATCACTCTCCATTCATATACTATATACAAACTGCATATGCATCCATTAACACTACACAGAAGCACATCCTTGTACACACACCCCACATCCAGTATTTACATAAATTTGCTAGTATAGCCCACTTCACTAATGTAATCTGATACTTCACATATACATTCACACTTATTTACACTGATTCACACGTTTATTCACACTAAATGTACATACAAAATACAAACATGCATTCACACTAATGCGCATTTACTACAAATACCCGGTTGCATAAAATGGAGAAATATGATAACTGCTCTATGCAGTGTAAAAATTCACGCTCCATGTATTGATAAGGGTGCAAGAAGCCTCCCTGTCACTTATAACTGCAGTGATTTGTTAAAAAAAAAAAAAAATTGTCTGTGGGCAAGTAGAGATGTCGCGAACCGTCCGCGAAACATGGATGCTGTCCAGGAAGTAGTAGGGTCTGGGAGGGAGGGTCTGCTGGAGATTGGCCGGGACGTGTCAGCTGACCGGAGTTTGCCGCGAACAGCTCGTGGCGAACCGTTCGCGAGAAGTTCGCGGACGGTTCGCGACATCTCTATGGGCAAGCACATTGCTCTATTTGTCCCTGGCAATATATTAGTAAATATGCAGGGCACCATATTGGCTTTGCAGATTCTGGCCAGAGTTTGTTCTCCAAATTGTGAATTGTGGAGAATTGATAAGGACATTACTGGTTTTGGTCAAAACAGTGTAGCAGTAGAACTTTCCAATTTCGCTTTTTGGACAAAAGTTAGCATTTCGTTTTGTATTTTATTTTCCAGTTTCCAATTTTCTAGATCAGGGGTAGGCAACCTACGGCACTAGTGCCATGCACGACACTCAAGGTGTCTTTGAACGGCACTCAAGGCTGCTGGAGCCAAACAGGCTCTGGCCTATCAGGAGTCCCAGTGAAACTTCACAAGCTTCACAATGAATGTAAAATGGATGCTGTCCAGGAGGTGGGAGGGTCTGGGAGGGAGGGTCTGCTGCTGATTGGCTGGAATGTGTCTGCTGACTGTCAGGTACAGGGTCAAAGTTTACCGCATATGTTCGCCACATCACTATTTGTCACAATTAGTCTGTATTTACCCATTTGGCCATTTGCACAAGGCAAATTGACAGGGTTATTCAGGGAAAATGCAAGGTAAATTCAAAGTGAATTTTAAATGTATCAAAATAGCCAAACTAGAAAGATTCTATAAGTCTGCTATGCATTCAGTTTAGCTACTCACGCATTTTATTTAAAATTTACTTTGAAATCTTACTTCAGTAAATAACCCTCTGAAATTCTCATTGGTGCCAGGAACAGTTCAAAGTAGAGTAACCATTTATTTGTATTTCCTTCTTGTAGGAGTATTGCAGTTTGCAGAAATCACATCAGGAGTACTAGTCTTGATCTGTGTTGTTTCATCTTATGCGGTACTGATGGGCTATACGTCTGGTGCTGGCTTTAACGTATTCAGCATCGATTCTGCATACAGCCCTTTCCAAGGCACAGAACTGCAGCAGGTACGAGACATGGACATGCAGTATACCCAGTTGAGAGCCCCTGGAGTCTATGGAGGGGTAGGATTCAGCTTGTTAGTCTGTGCGTTGACTTTGGTGTTCTTGATCGTGGGGTCCAAACCATTATATAGTGTTTCTCTCCGAATCCTCTTTGCAGAGATGATCTTTGAAATTTTAGCATTTGTAGGTTATATTACTGCTGTGGGTCTTTACCTGTACTTTGTCAAGCAGGTAAACACCACTGATATCTGCAAGACAAGGGAGAGACTTTATGCAGGCCGTGGCTACACCTGGATGAACTGTGAAATACAGGGAGGCGATGCTGGAGTGTCTTTATTTGGCGTGATTGCTGCATGCCTATATCTGCCAAGTGCCATATTGTGTTGGCTGCACATCAGAACTGTTCGTGAATTTAGAAAGCTTCACCCGCATTGCAGATACAAGTCACAACTGCACAGTCAAAACGAGCCCAACATTACAAAGGACAACTTGGAAATGACACAATTTCATCCTAGTACTCTTGTATAGAGGTTAATAACAATAACATGGAACTCTTTCATTCTGTAGTGATTGACGTGACACATTCCAATGTCACAGATGGGATTTACCTGTATTATTTCATTTTAACAATCTGACCTTATGGCAAATTGTGCCTTTCCCCACATTAACAATGAACATTATACACACTCTTACGAATATACTTTGCAGATGTAGAATAATAGCAAAAGTCTTATTTTCATTTGTTTTTAAATATAAAATGGATAATCATTTATGATTCTCATGATTCAATATAGTGGTGTCAAACTACGGTACCTAGATCTTGTTGGACATCGAGACCCAAAATCCTCTGCAAGCCATACATAGCAGCTCATCATCTGGGGGATCCACAGTTTGAACAAATAACACTTCCTAAGCTAGTTTATAGGCTTCCTTTATGTCATGCTCAAAATAAATGTATGTTAACAAAATTAAATATATTTCATTAACTTGTAAATATATTGTTGACTTTTTTTACACAGTGTATATCTATTCAAAACACTTACTTTCATTTGCTCAACAATTGCAAACTGAATACGCTGTCACGTAAAGCTACTCTCACCGTAGGGAACCTGTCATAGAGTATAGCTACTTAGTAGACACCTTGGTGTAGTCTGTTAATTTTTCTACATTGATTTAAATCCAAAACAAACATTGACTTAAAGCAGAAATGTCACACTTTTATATAATTATTATTATTTTTCTTGCATAACCAGATAGATCACTAAAGGTTAGCAATGCATTGTGCTATTTTTCTTAAAATGCTGAATTTTTATATTTAACTTCCACGGTATATCTTGTTGTCCGGGCAGAGCCAGAGCATATTATGCAAATGTATTTACCAACCTTGTGTTGTATTAAAGGGCCAATGCACATACCCTGCACTATGGAAGGATTATACAATCAGCAGATACTAGTCTTGTCCTTGCCTGGAGAATCAACGAGTGATGGTATTGATGATAAAGTGCTCAAGAGGTAGATGTGTTTTTATTTACCTCCAGTGCGCTACTCAATAAATTTAATAGCGTTTACTGAGTTTCAGGGAGTAAGGAAATGCTTGTGCAGAATCAGGAAAGAAACCTGAACACATTAAGAAGGAAATTGAAGATTATTTTATTTAAACTCTTATTAAAATATAAAGAGTAAATACTTTAATATTAAAGCTGTGAGGTTTCTGCGTACCACTAATTATGTGGAATGTAAATAATTGCAATTGCCCATTCTAGAATATATTTTTGGGAAACAATGAGCAAGATGTATTTCTAAAGTTTCTTATAAATTGTCATATTATTTAATAGCTACTGTTTAGCAGTAAATATGTATGTACTGTTCTTTTAAAAATGAAAACGTTGGAGCAATCGTATGCATAACACAATGAAGGTTAAAATAAATAAAAATACAAAAACCATCTATACACACAATTTATGATCGAGCAAAATAACTCGCTATGGGGCACTTTCTATCCTGGGGAGAAATTATTTTTTGTACAGAAACAAATGTTTGTAATATAGATTATTATATCATAAGGCATATTTGTTTGTTTTTGTTCAAATTAGTTGAAAAGTTTTATGTTAAAATTATGTTAACTTACTATAGTTTAAAAACAGAACATCACATCCCGGCTTGAAGAGAATGTTCTATTTCCACTAAACAAATATCAAAAATGTATTATTTTTATTGATAGCTGTCTTTTTATATTTTATGGCTTATGTTGTATATCTGCCTTTAAAAACTTGCATGATGTAATTTAATAAAATACTCACTGCAAATTGTGTTGGTTGGTCTGTTAACACCAAACTGGTTTTATGTTTCCTCACATTGCTACCATCAGAGTCTACATAGAGCGCTGGTCCCAAGGCTGCATAAAGGTCCCGCTATCCATTGCGCCACAATCTTGCAGGCACTATTTGCTCTGTTAGCTAATGTGGGGATGTAATATGTGTGTAGGGAATACAATGTATGTAAGGGATGTAATTTGTGTGCGTATAGTGGATGCTGTGTGTTCGTGTGTGCAAAGTGGCTCTTGTGTGTTTATAAAAGGGTATAGTGTGCGTATATTGGATGTAGTGTGTTTAAGGGACGCAGTGTGCACGTAGTGTATTCAGTATATGTTTGTGTGTGTGTAGGCTGAGATAGGGGCTGTGATCAGGAAGGGGGGACATTCCCCAGTGGTCCAGTGGTATCTGGAGGCCCATGCTGTTCTTGTAAGGCCCTGGCAGAGTGCAGTGTTGGAGCATTGCCATGGTAACAGTGACAATGCTCTGACTGCTGGGGTTTGCAAGATGGAGAGAACCTGGTAAAGGAGCAGAACACACACACACACAACCCCCTCTTTGAATTAATTCCCTTAGCAGGACTTAAAATGAGATACATACAACTTCAGATGAACAACAATACATGACATATTACACCATATTATTTAACAAAAATAAAGTCAAAATGAAAATGGAGGAGCCATGTGTGAAGAACTAAGTACACCCTTACTGCTTACATTAAGAGGCTAAGCAGCAGACAGGTGCTACTAATTAAATGCCCTTGATATATTATCAGCAAGAGTGACAACCTCTATAAAAGTAGGTGGTCCAGCAGTGTGCTGGTCTGGAGAATTCCGGTGTGTAAAAAAACATGATGCAAAGGAGGAAAGCCAGTGTAATGATCTTAGAGAAGCAATTGCTCATCAAACTGGGAAGGGTTATAAGGCCAATTACAAACAATTTTAAGTCCATTATTCTACAGTGATAAAGTTAATTCAAAAGTGGAAAACATTCAAGACACTTTGGAACTGTACCTAAATTACGTAAAATACAAAAATAACAACTGTGTATCAGAACAAATTCAAATAGCACACTGACAGCAGTCTGCTCTTTTAAAATATCTAGGTTTGTTGCTAGGCCCCAATCTAGAAAAAAACCAAAAACGTAATGTCCAACTAAGGGACTGTGGTGTGCGCAAGAGAACCTAAATAGGGGGTAACCCTTAATTATATCATAGAGAGAGAGAGAGAGAGAGAGAGTATGCGTGTCCACGGGACGAAGACACCGTGGACACAAGGAATGCCCCTTGTAGTTTAAGATGTACTATAGTTAAACATGTGTTAAAAACCTATTTTATTGTTAAATTCTCTAAAAAACTAAACAAAAAAAACAAACATCAAACATACACTCATAAAAAAGAGCTCTAAACAAATGTGAGCTCTATGTTATAAACCAATAAGGGGAAAGAGACTCAGAAATGTATCAATACTAATGTCGTGGGGATAGGAATAAGTATACCACATTATGGAATAATAATTCTGTGAGGGTGAAGGGTGGAATATATACAAAGTATTTAATCCTATATTGATATAGACGCCTTTAGTTAACCATGCTGCTAAAGCTGGATAGAAATGGTGATATATTGTGTACATATATACAAGAAAGTTACCTCTTGTATGGTTATAATACTGGACTAAAAAACACAAAAAAGCCCTATAATATAAATACAACTATGGGAAAACTAAGCTGTATACCAAATGGATCAACTGTACACTATATGATTCAAACAGGCCAATATAGCTAGTAGCTGCAAAAGACAAAAATAAGGGTTCGCTTAGGAAACCGTACTATAGGATCTATAGTGATAGTGTGACATTCTATGAATGATGTCTTGAAACACTGTATCCACTGAAGCATTTGGATTATTATCAGCTGCTGCAAGTGCATAAAGACCTATGATTCCCAAGTTGCCGTTATTATGGTAGACAGCAAATATAAGGCCTTAGAAGTGCATATCACCATTGAAAAAAAAAATAATAAAAAAAAAGGGCATCAAACATTGGAGATACGTCCTCCAATCAACCAAACCCCATTCGTAATTGTAATTAAGATACTGGAGGAGAGCCTTATGAATACAAGCTACTGCTATAGACAGATTTAAGCAGAGCCTGCAATTAAGAGAAAAATAAAAGCCACTGCTGTGGATTGATATTAGCAGATCTTTCAAGATACCATTCACGATTAAAGAGAGTAAGAGCTTGCACGATATCACTCGCTATTAATGCAAACAATGATTCCAAGTTGTCCTGTCTGATGAAGGGCAAGTTTCCTTGTGTCCACGCTGTCTTTGTCCCGTGGACACGTATTCTCTCTCTATAGACCCCAATGTATCCTTTGGTCTTCACATAGAAAAAAAAATCTCTTCAAAACTTTACCCAAAACTAGGTGCCCTGTACAGAAACAAATCCTACCTAATCCCTACAGTAAGGAAATAGTGCAACAAATGCTAATGCCGGTCATTGATTATGGGAATGTAGTGTATGCACCCGCACCGCAAACCCACCTTAATAAACTTAATACGTTATATAATTCATTCTGCCGCTTTGTACTAGAATGTAATTACTTTAGCTCTTTTAACATGTCACAGTGGTGGGTAAACTGTCTGGAGCTGGAATCTGGACACACTCTTCATCTTTCCAGCCTTGTGCATAAGAGCTTTTCTGGGAAGCTCCCACCCTACCTGAGTAGAATGCTCTCCCCAACTGTTCCCACCTCCTATAACCTCTGATCCAGTACTAGCACGATATTTAGCATACTGCAATACAAAAATAAAGTGGCTCGGTCCTCATTTTCCTACAGAGCACCGCAATTATGGAATAACCTCAGGGACACAAGAAAATCTTCAATCAATCTAAAATATTTTGAGAGATCTATGGCAATATATCTCAGCACAGAATGCACCTGTCATGATTGAATATATTTATTACCTGTTATGTACTAAATTTATATATGAGTGTATATATTAGACTTGGGCATTCGTAAGAATGGATTTTCGTCCATTCGTACGAATGGCTAAACAAATGGGCGTCCAAAAAAATTCTTCCTTGAGCCTTTCATTAGTTCATTCGGCTTTTTGAATTACACTGTCTGTGTAATTCAAAAAGCCAAACTAGTAACCGAATGAACGAATGGCAATATATTATTCACCATTCTTTCATTCTTTAGTTCTGTTTACTCACATCAAATCTGATGGGATTGAGCCGAACTAACAAATGCGTATGAATGAATGTGCCTTTCGTTCATTCGTATCACTAGTTTGGCTTTTTGACTTATAGACAGGCAGTGTACTATGTGTGTTATAATACAAATTACAATGCAAGCTGCCGAGCGAGCAACGTTCGCGTACAGAACAAACAAATCATTCATTTCAACTGTTCGTCATTTTTCAATGCATTGCTTTAGCATATGGGGATGGTAGAAATGAATGAACTAATGTGCCTTAATTTGTGTATTCGTTCATTCAGATGCCTGGTATTTATCCAATCAGCTCACTCCTGTGACATGATACTGTAGGGGCTTATCCAATGGTACGTGCTGTATCATAGATGGATTTGGGAGTGAGCTGATTTTCATTTGTCCAATCAGTTCACTCCTATGACATGATGCTGTAGGGACTTATCCAATGGTATGTGCTGTTTCGTAGATGGGTTTGGGAGTCAGCTGATTTTCATTTGTCCTATCAGCTCACTCCTGTGACATGATGCTCTAGGACAGCGGTTCCCAAAGTGTGGGTCGCGACCCACTGGTGGGTCGCAGGGTGATTCCCAGTGGGTCGTGCTGACCCTCCCCTGCAGGGCCGCCGGAGACACGGGAGTCAGACTGATCAGGAAGGGGCCCGGCAGCTTGCCATGTATGCCGCTGGGATCCCTCCAATCAGTCTGCCTAGCACCTCCTGTCTGCAGCTCCGCCGGGTGCAGAGCTGCAGACTGTGTGATAGAAGTCTCGTGAGCACCTAGAGTGTTACCACGGCAACACTATGGGAGCTCGCAAGACTTTTATTACATGGTCTGCAGCTCTGCACCCGGCAGAGCTGCAGCCCGGAGAGTTAACCCACTGGACCACCAGGGAATTTAATAAAGGTAGGACTCAGCCCCCAGACCCTGCCCCCCGCACAATGTAACCCCTTCACTCCCTTCACTCCTTGCCCCCCCACTGTAACTCCTTCACTCCCTGCCCCCTTCCCTCACTGTAACCCCTTCTCTCCCTGCCCCCTCCTCCCCACTCTAACCCCTTCACTCCCTGCCCTCTCCCCCACTGTAACCCCTTCACTCCTGCCCCCCCCCACTGTAACCCCTTCACTCCCTGTCGTCCCCCCACTGTAACCCTTTCTCCCCCTGCCTGCCCACTGCAACCCTTTCTCCCCCCACACTGTTACCAGCACACACACTCCCTCTCTCCTCTCCCACACACACTGTCGCTCTTACCTCCTGTCTCTGCGTGTATGTGTATCTGTGTGTCCTTTTGTATCAGTGTGTGTGTATTTGTGTGTCAGTGTGTATCTGTGTACATGAGTGTCTGTGTATTTGTGTGTGGGGAAACTAGGTGTCATTGTGTGTGTGTATTGCTGTGTCTGTGTGTCTCTCTGTATGTATGTGTGTATATATACATATATATATATACACATATACACACACACACACACACACTTCATGGAGATCTACCTTTTGGCCACACTTGCACTAAAGGGGGGCCAAGAAAACATACTTGCACCAGGGCCCTCTCTACATTAGTTCCACCACTGGGATGAAAGAGTAGGACAACAGCACTTCTGATTCTGAGTCTGTGAGTAAGCAGTTGTATGTCTCTAAAACCGATTGCCATGATGTGCAAAATTTCTGCCTCTAAAACTGCTATGCTATTGCAGAATTATGACTCTAAAACTGCCATGTTGTGCCAATTTTATGCATCTAAAGCTCATTGCCAAGGTGTGCCAATTATATGCATCTAAAAGCTGA